GCTCTTTTCCTTTGGGGTCACTGTAGAAAACTCACAGACCTCAGAGTCAGGGAGCTCCAGTCTGGAAGCCCCTCTATTTCATTTCCTCTGTGGGCTGCAGCTACTTTCTCTCTAGACCAGAGCTGGAGGAACTAACACAGGGGGAGGGAGGAGTGTGTGCCCTGCTGACCTAGCCCAGGGGAGGATTAGCCCAGGTCACCCCAGTTCCTGAGCTGAGCCTTTGTCTACAGTCCAGGAAGGGAGGGGGAGATGGAGCAGGGTCTACCTCAGCTCCTGGAGGAAGGTACAATGTTAGAGTGGGTGAAATTACTGTTTCTTTCTCATTGTGGGTCTCTCCCATCTCCCCAGGATAACCTACATATGCATCAGGGAGAAGATCTCAGATAAACCCAGGGTGCTTCCCCCACCTCCCTCCCCACTAGTGTTCAGAATGAATCTCCTTGTATTCATGGCCACACTGGAGGAGAGCAGAAAAAGATAATGTTGTTACTGTATTTGTTAGCAGGATTGGAGGTAAGATTTTTTTTTTACTGAAAGATATTTTCATTTTTAATTTTTTAATTAATTAATTTACATTTATTTTACATTTTTCCATTTTTAAACAATGTTTGCTTTTTTTTCCCCCTCAGGTGTAGTCCCCATAGAATTTCCTTCACCAATGCACCCATGCACCGTCACCACAGTCCCCTATGCGCCTCCCTCCCTCCCTCTGATCCCACCCCCATCCCCTCCCTGCAGGATGTCTCTGGTTTATAATTGTCTGTATGTTTTTCGTGTGTGTGTGTGTGTGTGTGTGTGTGTGTGTTTTATTATTCCCCCCTCCGCCCTGTGTCTTACTTGGTTCCCCTATATTTTTCCTATAAGTGAAACCATCTGGTACTTTTCATTTTGCTTCTGACTTATTGCACTGAGCATAATTCCTTCTAGCTCCATCCACGTCGCCGCAAATGGCATCAGTTTATCTTTTTGATTGCTGAATAGTATTCCATTTTGTATCTATACCATATCTTCTTGATTTAGTCATCTCTTTTTGGGCATTTGGGTGGTTTCCATATGTTACACATTATAAATAGTGCTGCAATAATCATAAAGGAACAGGTGTTCTTTTGAATAAAGTTTTTGTATCCTTTGGGTAGATCCCTAGGAGTGGAATTGTTAGGTCATATGGTAGCTCCATTTTTACTAGACTGAGGAACCTCCAGACAGCTTTCCACAGTGGTTGGACCAGTTTGCACTCCCACCAGCAATGTAGGAGAGTTCCTTTTTCACCACATCCTCACCAACATTTGTTGTTGTTAGTTTTTTTGATACGTGACATTCTTACTGGTGTAAGGTGGCATCTCATTGTAGCTTTGATTTGCATTTCCCTGATTATATGGGATGTTGAAACTTTTTTCGTATGCCTGTTGGCCATTTGCATTTCTTCTTTGGAGAAGTGTCTTTTAAGTTCTTCTGCCCATTTCTTGACTGGATTGTTTTCTTTGTTTTTGTTGAGTCATGTGAGTTCTTTGTGGATCTTTGTGATCAGTCCCTTATCAGTTGAATGGAGTGCAAAGATTTTTTCCAAATCAATGGGGTGTCTCTTTGTTTTGGTTAATGTCTCTTTTGCTGTGCAGAAGCTTTTCGGTTTGATGTAATCCTGGGTGTTTATCTTTTCCTTCACTTTCTTTGCTTTGGGTGATGAGGCTTTACAGGTGTTACTGAGACGTATGCTTTGTGGTGTTGTATCTGTATTCTATATATCTTGTGGTTTCAGGTCTTATGTCCAGATCTTTTATCCATTTTGAATTGACTTTTGTGCATGGTGAGAGGTAGTGGTCTAGTTTCATTCTTTTGCATGTGATGGTCCAGTTTTCCCAGCACCATTTATTGAACAAACTGTCCTTGTTCCATTGCATATTCTTTGCTCCCTTGTCAAAGACTAGCTGTCTATTTATGTGTGGCTTTATTTCTGGGCTTTCTATTCGTTCCATCCATGCCCCAGGTTGCTTCCAATTAGCCCTGATTTTGCCCTGTCAGTCTGACTGGTGTAGCATGAACTTGTTGGTCTCCTTTTGACGAACCTGGGCTTCCTGATGGGTCTGAGGGCAGCAGTGGTGCTGGGTGGGAGACGGCTGGGAATTTGCCTTCCTGTGGCTTCACAGGGGGTCTCTGTGCACCCCCAACTGTAAAGAGTCAAGGGGCTTCCTCAAGGAGACGCTGCCTGGCTGCTGAGGAGGGAACCATCAGCGCCTCCAGCAGCTCAGCTCAGCCCAGACCTCCGGAAAGCACAAAGCTTTGAAAGCCTGTGTTTTTATTTTGGAAAATGTGGGAAAAGATTTGGATTACTTTCTGCAAAGTTTCTTAAGAAACTGGAGGGAACATGTCAGGGAAAGGCAGTGGTGTCCATGCAGACCCTTCCCTCACAGCCCGGCCCAAGGAGAGTCTCTGAGTGTCTCCTTGGGGGCCGCTGCTGCCTCCTCTAGTGAGCAGAGGACTCACATCATGGAGGAGGGAGACCTGTCCTTTCACGTCTTCCTTCCTGGGATGAATGTGGGGAGTGAGCCCTGAGCACGTGTGCAGACAGCACGGGACCCAGCACAGGGTGTGCTCGACCCTGAGGGCTCCTAGGGCGTTTTTTGGGAAGGAACTTGAAATAGAATTCAGAAGAAGAGCATAAAAGCAGCACTCAGCTGCCTCGGCCAAGAGCCCAAGTTCTAGCTCTGGTGACAGCTGAGACGCAGAAGGGTTGACTCACATGCATCTGGCGGCTTCCTTAGCCTGGCCAGGCCTCTACTCATTTATTCATTTCTATGATGAAATATCTGATTTTCAAGGACTCTTATTCTGAGCCCCTGAAATTTTATAACATCTTTTTTTTCTCTTTCCTTGTTTTTAGTTCTAGAAAGTAACCAAATTTACCTATAATGCATAGGTATCTACATCTAAATAAATGTCTGAAATCCGTGTGGTAACTGAGGTTGTGTCTCCTGAGCTAAGGAGTGAGACAGGGGCCTGGCACCCCAGGAGAGAGGAGGGGATCACATGGCAAGGACAGGGTGACTCATGACAAAGATCTGATATTCTATGCTTCCCCTGACATATAGGTAGGTTTCTTGGATACAAAGCTCATTTCTGGTAATAACCCTCATTTTGGGTAAGACCACCCATTTTCATACTAGGTATAGAAGTGGTAACCGTTTCTTAAGATGAACCCCGGATAAACCTCAGATGGAGATAATTCACATGCCAAAGTGGCCTTTCTTGGGGATACCTTTCTGAACACCTGGGGGAGGCCTGTCCCTCAGAGCACAATAAATGAGGGAAGAGCACATGAGCATGAGGATGGGGCCAGGACCAGGAGGTAGATTAGGCTACAGGCCTCCTCAGTGTGCCTGGGTCTTGGGGCAGGACATGGAGGGGGGCTGAGGAAGAGGGGATAGGCTGGTCTATGGGGACAGAGCAAGTGTGTCAGGGGCAGAAATGACAGCTGTGGGAAGAGATAAAATCTTTTCCTTATGCTTAATTGGTTTTTAATATATATTTTTGATACTACTGATACTGATTTTTTGAAACTTTTAATACTATTGACAACAGTGGTCAGGATCTGCTAGGGCTCCAGCTTCTCTGCTTTCACAATAAACTCGCTCCTTCCTCCCAGCACGGGGCTCAGTTGGGGTTTACACTTGTCTTTGTCACCTTTACTCAGTGTCCATCTCTCACGAAAGTGCAAGCTCCACGTCTCCAGGGTCCTCTCTCTGCTCCCCATTGTATCTGCAGGGGAGGCAGCTTGGGGAGGCAGGAGCCAGCCAGGGAGAGGAATGCTGGGCAGTGAAGAGGAGGCAAAGGCAGAGAACACTTGGGAGATGCTCCCTGGTTCACTGAGAAAAGCATTTCTCAAAGTGTGGTCTGTGGAGCCCTTGAAGTCTCCCAGAGCCTTTCATGGGATCCGTGAGGTAAAACTAATTTCAAAACATCACTTAGACACAATTGTCTTTTCACTATTTTGGCATTTGCTGAGGTAAAATTCAGTAAGAGTGGAGCTTATAGTACCACTGCAGAAGTAGTAATTCTTCACCAGCACTTACCTGCAGGAACAAAAATCAAAGCCAGTTTCACTTGAAAATATCCTGAAAAAAGCATTAAAAGTTATCTTCATTATTGCATCATCCTCAACTCCACATTTTAAAATATCTGGTGTGCTGACCTGGAAGGACACACAGAGCACTTCTGCGGCATTCCCAAGCATGTTCCCAGAGGAAAATATTTGTGTGAGATGCAGCAGACTCTTTTTATTTGTGGGCAACACCAATCTTACCTGAAGGGATGAATGACACAAACTAAGGTTATTTAAATCTGGTTAATTAGAAGATACTTTCCTCAAAATGAGTGTCTGTTTCTTGAAGAAAATCAACAATTGGCAAATGACAGTAACTTTGCCTGATAAAATATAAGCTCTCAGAGAAAACCAGAATTATGAAAAATTGAGTGCCTCACTACTTGACAATTTATAGTATGAATTTTTCTTTTGGGATTTGTGATTAAAAAATAAAACATTTTTTGATCATTTGATTCCAGTGTAATGAACACTAAAAATCTATGTAACTTAGAGAAACAATGTATCACCTTAAAACATCATACATTAGCACAAGTCCCAACCAATATGCAAGAGAGGCCTATGGAATGTAACAGAATAGGAAATAGTCCCTCATATTCTTTCAGGTTTCACTTAGCAAATAACCTTCCGGAAACTGCCACCTGTGCAGATTTAATTTAGTATCAATATTCACAATTATCTGAAAACACTAGTAGTTTCTTCATTCCTCCAGGCTGCTGCTTCTCCCAGCCCAAATCCACTCCTCCCTAAGGTGAGGAAAGGAATTTGGAGCCTCCCCTTTCTGTGGATGTCACCCTGTTACAGCATCATGTCTCCCTCTCACAGGCTCTGTGGGGTGGTGCAGCCTTGATGACCCCACACTCACCCCCATTTTCTCTTCCCATTTCCTGGGGGTGTCCAGGGAAGACAATCAGCATCATCCTGCTCCAGTTACAAAGTCTCCAAGGACCCTCCTGGACTCCTTCTCCCCAGGCCCCTGGATGGGGTGTGATGCCCCTCACCCTCCTGCTGCTGCTCTGGGGGCCCCTGGCCCTGATGGAGACCCGGGCGGGTGAGTGCGTGTCCAGCTGGACACTGTTGCTCCAGGAGGGAGGAGCAAGGAGCCCCCTGCGGGTGCAGGACCCCAGGAAAGGCTCATCTCACCCCAACCTCTTGTTCCCCTTCAGGCCTGTTGTGTTCTGGCCCCTTCTGTCCCTCCCGCCTCCCCTGAGTGCTCTGGGCCCCTGAGTCTGGGCCCTTCTTGGCCCACCCCCCTTTTCACTCTCCCGGCCCTGCCCCTTTCTCCCCTCCAGGCCCATCTCCCTGGGCCCTGGGCCCGCGCTGAGAGGAGGGTCAGCCCTGGTCTCCCCTCCCGCCCACAGGCTCCCACTCCCTGAGGTGTTTCTACACCGCTATATCGTGCCCGGGCAATGGCAAATGCAAAGGCAAGGGCAATGGCAACAGGGAGCCCCGCTACATCGCCGTGGGCTACGTGGACGACACGCAGTTCGGGCGGTTTGACAGCGACTCTCATGGTCAGAGTGTGGAGCCGCGGGCGCCCTGGGCGGGGCAGGTGGGGCAGAAGGAGCGGGAGGAGGAGATGCTGCTCCAAAAGAACAGGGCACAGTGGTTCGAAGCGCTCCTGAGGGACCTGCCTGGCCGCTACAACCAGAGCGAGGACGGTGAGCTTCGCGGAGCGGGGCCAGGGTCAGGTCACCCCCCATTCCCACCATCAGGCCGGGGTGTCCCGAGTCTCAGGGTCCACTGACCCCTCGAGGCTGGTGGATCTGCCAGGCCCCTCCCCCGGGAAGGGACTGTCCTGCCGGCCCTTTCATTTTCAGTTTAGGTTTATTCGGGGTGGGGGGTGGAGGTGTGATTGGGGAGTGACCTCGGGGCTGACCGCTGGGCGGGGCGCAGGGTCTCACACCCTCCAGAGCATGTTTGGCTGTGAAGTGGGGCCAGACCTGAACCTCCTTGGCGGGTATGAAAAGTTCGCCTACGACGACACGGATTTCATCTCCCTGAGCGAGGACCTGCGCTCCTGGACCCCCGCGGACCCGATGGCTGAGATCACCCAGCGCGAGTGGGAGGCGGCGGGGAGGGCCGAGCGCGTCAGGAACAGTGTGCAGAGCAAGTGCTTCCCGTGGCTCCTCAGATTCCTGAGTTTGGGGAAGGAGGTGCTGCAGCGCACAGGTAAGAGGGGCCACGAGGCCTTGGACCTCCCCTCTCCTGGCGCCCCACAGGGAAAATGGAATAATGGGCAGAACAGCACCTGCTTTCTGGGCAGAGAGGGAGAGTCCCCCTGGGTTTCATGTTCTGTGCTAGAGAGAGACTCGCCCAGAAGACACCACTTTTCTGGACAGTTAATGAATCCAGTCTCTCCTGAGGGAGGGAGGCCATCCTGAAATAACTCTTCCTGGATCCTTGTGACCCGGCAGCCATCCTGGGAACCGTGAGTTTCTCTTCAAGGTCTTGTTTTTGGTCTAAGAACATTTCTGGATCTGACTCCTGCCTTTCTGTGTCATTCACCCTCCACCCAGGTCAGTAGTAAAAGTCTGTGTTCTCCTTAGAGACCTGCGTCTTCCTACCCTGTGCTCTCACCTGATTATCCCAGATTCTCCAGACTAGGCTGGTTTCTGGGCTTTCTGCTTCCTCCCTCCAAACCAATTGCCATGTCCATTCTGAGGATGGTCAGTGAAGCTGCTTCAGTGTCCAGGAAGGAAAAACCAAAAGTGTGAATTTTCTGTCCCTTCTCTTTAGATCCCCCAAAGACACATGTAACCCACCACCCCACCTCTGAGCATGAGGTCACACTGAGGTGCTGGGCCCTGGGCTTCTACCCTGCGGACATCACCCTGACCTGGCAGCGAGATGGGGAGGACCTGACCCAGACACGGAGCTGGTGGAGAGCAGGCCTGGGGGGGATGGAACCTTCCAGAAGTGGGCGGCTGTAGTGGTGCCTTCTGGAGAAGAGCAGAGATACGCATGCCATGTGCAGCATGAGGGGCTGCTGGAGCCCTGAGTCCTGACTTGGGGTAAGGCAAGAACGTGAGCACATAGCTTCTCAGGGACATCAGGAGCCCTTCTGGAGACCTCAGAGGGTCAGGAGGAGGCCTCGGGCTCAGGGTCTCCCGTTCCCATCCCTTCCAGTGCCCCCTCCTCAGCCCACCGTCTCTACGGACTCCACCGATTCCACCATGGGCCTCATTATTGGCCTGGTTCTCCTTGGAGCTGTGCTCGTTGGAGCTGCAGTGGTTGCAGCTGTGATGTGGAGAAAGAGGCGCTCAGGTAGGGAAGGGAGTAGAGGGTCTTGTCCACTGGGGGCTTTCATGTTCCAGGGAGAAATTGCCCTTCCTGATTAGTAGGGAGTATGATCCACACACGTGTTGCTCCAGTCTGGAGCTGATTGCAAACACTCACTCTTTGTAAAGCACTTATGAAAAGGAATCACCAATTGTTCCCCTTATAACTATGGTGATGGGGATCTGTTTCCCAGGAAATTTCATAGGGGAAGGACCCTGCTATGGTAAGACTACAATTGCCTTTCATATTCATTCTTCATATATCTCAGTCCTGACCTGGGTCTTCAGTCACAGTTCTAGGAACTTCCTTCTGACCTAGACTTGGGGATTCCTTTAGGGCTTCATGAGCTGACTCCTCCCTTGTCTCACATGAGGTTTCTTCCCACAGGGGGACAAGCAATCAGCTACAGTCAGGCTGCAGGTAAGTGTGGATCAGGGGTTGGGTCCTGAGCCCCTGAGGACAGCGTAGAGGGAATTCTAGGGAGAGTCACCCTCATCAGTTCCTCTTAGGGTCTCATCTTTGGGCTCTGACCAGGTCTCTTCTGTGCTTCCTCAGGCAGCATATTGGACCCAGGACTCTGGGATGTCTCTCACCCGCTTGTCTGGTGGGTGGAATGCATAGCCAGATGCCAGAACTTTGTTTTAGGTGCAAAGTAGGAAGTGACTTTGTACAAACCATTAATAAATTAAGGCAATAAATTGATCAGTGGCTGTTTCCTCACAATAAACAGGTGCGCCAGAGTAACTCTGTCACAGTCAAGGTCATAACAGTGAGCTGTCAGACAAGGATTCCATGTCCCATGAAGTGTCTTTCAAAATAAACGTGATTTTAAAAAATTATTTCTACCTTTAATTTAATTTACCTGTTCCATTTAATTTTGGTGTTCATTTCTTTTTCTTCACACTATCCCAAGTGGTATCTGCAGGGTCACAGCACAGAGGAGTTGTCAGTGGCCTGGAGCTGTGAGTGGTGCTACCTCTGACCCGCCTGCAGGGATTGGGGTCCTGGAGGCTCAGAATGAGCCCCTGGGGCTGGTCCTCCAGGGCAGCTCAGGCCTTGCTCTGCCCTCCTCTTGGCCCCCATGAATCTCCCTGACACCCCAGCATTGGGGAACTGAGGGTGATGTCCTGGTAAGGAGAAGTTAAGGACACCCCTTAACCATCTATCTCCCTCATATTCTGCCATCTGCTGCATCAAGACAAAACATCTAAGACCTTTAATGGAAAGGAAGTTAAATACAATTAGTGTGCAACAAAGAAAAAGGAAAGAATAAAGTTTCCAAATCAATCAAACATTCAAAGTCACCCGTCCCCTTGTGGGTAAATGTTCAACCAAACAGGGTTGGCCCAAGCAGGGCCTGAATGCCTGCCACCTAAAGCACCTCCTGGCAGGACCCATAGTAAAGGGGTGGACAGGGCTGACAAGTCTGGAAGGAAAAGAGCAAAATCAAGATAGAAGCTGCCATTGTAAACCCCCCTCCACGGGTCTCTCACCCACATCTGTGCCACCCAGTCCAAGGCCAAGAAGTAAGTGCAAGCTGTTGACGTGCCTCTCTGCTCCATGTGCCTCCTCCAGGTCTCCTGGATCATCTTGCTTCCTTCCTTCTCCAGTCTCCTCTCCAGCTGCTTCTTCCTGCTCAGCTCCATCCTGCTTGGGTGGGTCAGGGAACTTAGATCTTCCCCTGGGGACATCCCCCCCCCCCCCCGCCCCCACCACTTACAGTCCTCTCCGTCACCAGCATGTGAGTGTGTGTGGGTTACACCAGCCCTGCAAGGACGGGCAAGGCCCCGGATGTGCGCAGTTCTCTGGGCAGTTACAGGCCAGCACTGCTGCATCCCTCCCAGGTGAGACAGATGCTCCCAGTCCCCCAGTGAGAGCCTGTGTCACCCACACAGACCTTCCCTCCACAGTGTCCCCTATGCTGCCCCTTCCCTGCCCGGTCCTCTCTGGCTCCCCACTGCACCCTTTTCCACCCCTGTCCCCTAAAGTCCCCATTTCCGTCCTCTGCTCTCTTTTCCAGGAGTCTCCCCATCTTCCTAGCCAGTGCCCTGGGGATCTCCTAGGACCTCCGCTTCTCCAGAGGATGGAGAATGTGAGGTGATTCCCAGGAGGAGGGGCTTTCGTCCTTGGAAGCAGAAGCAGAAACAAATTATAGAGACCCTGGGATCTAAGTTTCCATCCCAACAAATTGAGGCAGCCTATATATTTGGGGATTTGCCCAGAACCTAGAAACCAGTTGTTATGTCCTGGAGAACACTGGAGACTAAAAATAAGGATACTTGGGCGCCCCCTTGTGTGCAGACCCCTATCCTGCTGCTGGGAGCCCAGGGAGCCTAGGGAGGGCCTGGCTGAGCAGGAGAAAGGGCGGCTCTGGGCTCCTGTGCTCAGCCCTGTGGCCACACGGGGGCGCTGCCGCGCTGTTCTGGAGTCTGGAAAAGACCTAATGCTCACAAAGAATTCTAAAGAATTCTCATAGTTGGGTGCCTTCTGGTGGTGCAGGGGCTAAGATGCAACCTATGAAGCAGTCCACAGCCACTGCAGCACAAGTTCGATCCCAGCCAGGGAGCTACCCACATGGCGCAGCAGACCTACCCTCACTCACTTGCTGTTCCCCTCAGCAGTGTACTTCAGTCAGTCTGCCTGTTCTGCTCCCCACTCTGTCTCTGGTGAATCCTCTCACTGCCCCCCCCACACCTCTGGTCTGTACCCCAGTTCTTGTATGCATAAATAAAGAAATCTTTTTAAAAAGTAACTTTTAAAGACTACTGTGAGACTTACAGAATAGTTGCAAAGGTAGTACAGGTCTTCTTTATCCCACAGCATTTCTATTTTGTTAACATCCTACATAAGTAAAGTTGTTGTGTTTTTTTTTTTTTTACAACGAATGAAGCAACGTTGACATAATTACTATATGCCACACTTTCATTTGTTTTTGCTAATGTCCATTTTATGCTCCATAATCCCATCCAGTTTGCCTGGATGACAGTTTCTCAGGCTTTTGTCATTTTTGAAACATTGATTTTGGTGAGGAGTGATGTTTTGGAGAGGTCGTGGGTTCACAGATAGGGGTTCTTGTGTCACCTCTTAGAAGAAAAGTTTTACCAAAGTCGTCCTTTCAGTGGTGTGTGGGCACCCCCCCACACCTCCCCTCACACCCAACACACAAAAAATGAAAGAAGGAGATGCTTGTGCAGACCCCAGAAGGCAGGAGGAGCTGCCCCCGGAGAGGGCGAGTGTGTTAGAAGCCTGAAGGTCCCAGGCGGCAGCCTTGGGAGCAGAGCTGTGTCTTCCCAGGGCAGAAAGGGCACTGAGGTGGTGTTCAGGTTGGGAGGGCTCATTCCTTTGTGCAATTGTTATCTGTCTTTAAATGAATGACTTCTATGGTGTGACTAGGCTGATTTGTCAGGACCAGCGATTCTCTGCAGTGGCTCCATCTGCGTGTCCCAGCTCTGGTCTGAATATGTCCTATAGCGTCTGATACTTGCTGTAGCAGCTGGCACAAAGCATTTTTCGTTTCTATAGTTGGTTTAATAACTATGTTAATCACTTCTACCCCCACCTCCAGTTTCTGGTCATCTGACTCTTCCACCCTAATTTTTCTACTCTCTCTTTTTTTTAAAGATTTATTTATTTATGCATATAAGAACTGGGGCACAGGCCAGAGGTGGCAGGGAGGTGAGAGGATTCACCAGAGACAGAGTGGAGAACAGAACACGCAGATTGACTGAAATACACTGCTGAGGGGAGCAGCGGGGAGTCAGGAGAGGTCTGCTGTGCCATGTGGGTACCTCCCTGGCTGGGGATTGAAGTTGTGCTGCAGTGGCTGAGGATAGTTTCATGGGTGGCATCTTAACCCCTTGAGCCACCAGGGAGGCCTAATTTTTTTCTCTTAGCCACCATCAAGGAGCACTGCTCAGGAACATAGTACCTCAATTTAGGTTTTTTTGGTTGTTGTTGGTTTTTTGAGTGGGACTATGGGATTGGGGAAGCAGAACACAGGGATGCTGTGCCATTGTCCACTCAACACATCAATGCTCATCATGTCCACCTGACTGATCACTGATGGTGTTAACCTTCAACACCAGGCTAAGGCAGTGTTTCCCAGATTTCTTCCTGCCAAACTTCTTTTTGTTCCATTTATTTAAATGCTGTTGTCTTTGGAAGGAAGCACTATGTGCAGCTCACAATTACGGGTTTTCTGCTATAAATGTTTGTGATAATTATTTGCATGCATACAGGGTTTTGTGCAAATACAAGTTTCAAATTAGTTGGTAACAGCCCAGTGATCACTGGGCTGTATGTCAGGTTTTTTGGTTTTCAAAGAAACTGTCAAAGATCTTCCTCAGTGACCAGACATTTTTCACTCTTGCTGGCAGTGATGAGGCTCCTGTGTCCACATCCTGGCAGTACCTGTGCAGGGTTTGCATTTTTCAGCCCCTACTAGGTGTGATGGCGTCACTGTTGTTCTTTTTGTCTTTCCCTAGTGGCCTGTGATGCTGAGCATCTGTTCATGTTTCTTTGTTGTTTGTATCTCTTCTTGGTGACGTGTCTGTTAAAGTCTTTTGTCCATTTTTCAAATGAGGCACCATTCATTTACAACACTGTTTTTGTCCTTTTTAAAACTGGGTTGTTTCTTTTTGTTCATTGAGTTTTAAGCATTATTTTGTAAATTCTAGATACAGTCCTTTTTTTCAGATTCATGATATGCAAATGTTTTCC